AACAAGAAAAATAAGTTTCTATGATAGCATTGCAGAAAGAAATATTTGAGTTACAAGTTTAGCAAATGTGATAAGTCACAAAATAGTTTCATAATTTACGCCTCTAGAACGCCACAGAGGAAAGGGGTGTCCAAGAGACGTAATTGAACCATGTATGCCATGGTAAGATCAAAGATGTCATTAACTAATTTGCCATTACATATTTCGGTTATGCTTTAGAGATTGTAGTTTTCCCACTGAAAAGAGTGGCCTCGTATGTTTTGAAATGACACCATATGAGATATGGTATTAGACGCTGAACCAGTATGTCCTTACTTAAAACTTGGCAATGAGATGCATATGTAAAGTGTTTATAACCGCATAAGCTCAAATCACAAATCAGATAAGTGCTACTTCATTGGTTATCCAAAATGTTGGATATTTCTTCTGTCACTGCACCGAAGGCAAAATGGTTGTTGCTAAGAACAGTGTGTTTTGAAGAAGAGTTTCTTGCAAAAGGTGAGTAAGAGGACAATGAAGCTTGACAAGATTAAATAATCTTCATGATGAGGTCAAACTAAGGAAACGTTGAAAACAGTTCCAAAGTTTCATCACTGCGACTGATATGGAAGCCCCTACATGTGACGTAGAGACTTCGGTCGAACTAGCAATTGAATGATGCAGGTTATGCAAAAACTCGTGCAAACCATTATGCTATGTAGACGAGACATTGTTATTAGACAATGATAAACCTGTGGCATACAAAGGCGCAATGAAGGACCCTGATTCCGGGACTCGACTAAATGCAAAGAAATTCGAGATAGTATCCATGAGTTTGAAAATAGACCCTCCGAAAAGAGTAAAGCCTAAGGAATGTAAATGGATCTATAAACCAACACAAATGAAAATGTTTATATCCATAAGGGTCGACTGCAACGAGATTGTCTCGCTGTAGCGATGCTCAAGTCAGTTCGGATTATTTTAGCAATTGTTGCATATTTCAATTATCAGATACGACAAATGAATGTCAAAACAGTCTCCTTCGTTGCAACGAAAATAGCAGTTGCTTGTGCAAGTGTATTACTCATCCTCGGTGTTTCCTCAACATATGATGAATCCAAGCCGATTGGTGGGCTTTATTTTGACCGGGGCGATCAATAATGTAGCACGAGTGTTCGTTTGTCCTCGGAGTTGTGAGAAGAATTGCTTATCTGCTTGAGATCCAGACTGACTTGCCATTGAGCATGTCACCGGTGAACAATAAGCATAACATACCATCTCTTTCATCTGTTCGACTGAGAATCAACTCCAACAATACTCGTGATACATTTTTTTCTGAGACATCCAATACTCGTGATAAATGACATTTTTTTGAGACATACAATACTCGTGATAAATGACATATCTACAATACGATGCTACTACCTTCGTCCCATAACATAAGAGCGTTTTTTACATTAGTGTGATGTAAAAGACGCTCTTATATTATGGGACAAAAGGAGTACATGACTATGAACAGCAAATGCTACAGTGTTATATGACATATATGGAACCGAGATCCAAGTTAGATAGGGCGTAGCGAACCAAGCTGTGGTTGGATGGTTAGATGGACAGTGGTATCCACAGCCCACCAGGGTTCAAGTCCTGATGCTCGCATTTATCCTGTATTTATTTCAGAATTTTCGGCAATGTGTGTTCAATGGAGGAGACGTTCCCGTCGACTACGAGGCGTCTGCGGTGCCTTCATAAAATCTCAAGATGATATATCGACTCAATCTTTTGAAAGTGCTCATAAGGATAGGGTGTGCGTTTTGCGTTCATGATGTGAGTGTAAGCACGTATATATAGGCGCTTGCATGTTGTGTTACAAAAAGTTAGATAGGGTGTGTTTGGTAGGTTGTATCAAGCCCAACAGTCGAGACACGTTTGAGTTGTTTGGCTGCCTGGCTTGCAGAAAAAACAGGCTCACACGAAACTTAAATCACCCCTCACCAGATAAAAATAATAATTCTCTCTCATCACACCGGAATCAAGCCCAATAACATTTTAACACATGATCTCATTTTCTACTTGCGCTTAGAGCAACTCTAACAGACCCCGCAAAACGCCGGCCCGCAAAACGCGTTTGCAGTTCACGCAAAACTGCTTTTGCGGGCCGGCGAGGGCTAGCACAGATGCAGACCCCTATGCTTTTTTATGGGTCGGCTATGCGGGTTCTGCTCGGGCACCAACGCAACGACCCGCAAACACAAGAACTGCAAATCTGAAATTGTCATAGGGGTTCACAAACAAGTTCAAATTCAAATGACATAAACAGTTTGCGCGCGAATAAAAGCGAAGTTCGTTACACAAAAGAGGGCATGCAAAGGTATGCGCCCATGTCCGGCATCATCTTGGGGGTCGATCTTCACTCGGCGCCATGAAATCCATTTAAAACTTCATCGGCGCCACCGTAGCCACCTCCGTCGCTTGTTGCAACTCCCGCACCGAAATCAACCACATTGTCACCGTGTGGAGCAGAGAAAACATCACCGGAACTGGCAGACGGACCGGCCGAGGCGACCATTCTCCTCTTCAAGATCTCTCTCCTTGCCATATCATGCCATGTTTTGGTGACCTCGTCCATGTCATTGCGGTTCATTGACATGATCTTATTCTCTTTGGCGAGCAACAATGACCACGATTTGTTTTCAGAGGCGCGTACTTTTCTCTCCTCAATGGCAGCTCTGTGCAGCCCCTCTTCCTTGAGCATTTGCCATTTTTCTTGCTTCTCTTTTGCCTTCTTTTCGGCCAACTCTTACTTGATCTCCAACGACTTCAACAACATTAACTCGTTCGATTGCACCATGGCATTAATCTTCTCCCTCAAGCTCGATACTTCTTGCTCTCTCTTTATCTTCTCTCTAGTCTTCTTGTCGCCATCGGGCTTGTTCAAATTTCTTGGGCCATCATCATCCTCATCTTCATCCATGTTTGTAAGTGAGCCTCTCTTGGGTGGGGACTCTTTGTCGATCAACTTCCACTTCTCGCACTTTTGGAGCAACTCCCAACAATGCTCTAATTTGAAGAATCTGCCTTCCAAAGCTTCCATGTCCTTGTATCTTTGTTGAACAATCTTGTCCTACACAATGCAATCTTTGGTGATGCAATCATTTTTCATGATACATTATAATGATGCACAACTTCAACAAAGACAAAGCAAACTCACATAGTCGGACTCCACGGTGCCACTTGGAGGTGCATTGCGTACTTGCTCCAAGCAAGCTGCCCAACGGCTGCACATAGGCTTTGTTCTCCCAACGAACTTGAAGTGACCGAAATGTGCGTGGAGTCTTGTTGGGGTAGTTTTTCATAATGTGGAAGTATTGATCTTCGATCCTTTGCCAATATCTCTTAGCGGTTTGATTAGTACCCGTGCATGCATCAAGAGACACCGCACTCCATGCTTTGATCAAAGCTTGATCTTCCAAGATGGTGTAGTTTTTGATCTTTCGCTTTTCCCAGCTTTTGCTTGTGAATTTTCAAACGCTTCCGCTTCGATCTCCGCCAAGTCGTCCGCACAACCATGATCGTCCACGCACCCCTCCGTTTCATTGTAGTCGAAAGGTTCGAAAGGGGCTTGATCAATGTCAACCGCGTTCGTGTCCAACAAGTTCACGAACTCGGTTGTTGCACTGTTCGAACCACCGCTATACCGAACGATGACAAGTCATGAGCTATGGAAAAACAATGGCGAAAATGAAGGAGAATCACCAAAGTCCGAAGAGATATACCTTCCGGCCATTTCGTCGAACACCTCGCTTGCGGGTGGAGTGGCACCGTTGAACGGCATCGCCGAAGCACCACCTTGGGGGGGGGGGATAGAGCGAGAGGTTGAAGAAGATTTGTTCCTTGAAGTCGGAACCTTCCTCCGCTTTACGCCCGCGACCTTGCCGGCCTTCTCCGTCGCCGGCCGGGATCGCACAGCGGCATTGGCGCCCGGAGCGCGGGCCATCGCGGCGGGGGCAGCCGGATTCCCACCCTGCACAAGCACGTTGCCCTGCCGCTTGCGGGCAGGCGTGGCGTGTGCTTGGGCGACGCCGGCGGGGCC